AAGAAGGACATATAAGTACTGAATGGCCAAAAAAGAAAGTTAGAATACTAATTACAGATTTTGAACAAATTAGGGATGAATGTGAAGAATTAACTTTGAAGAAATAGAAACTGATGAATAAATTTTTGAAGAAAAATTAGAATAAGAAGATATATAGTGAAGACGAATAGGGAAATAAAAGAAATATAAAATAAAAACTAGTTATTAAAACTATTCATAACGTAGGTATATATTTTGCAATAAAATCCATTTTATTAAAAGTAAAATTGACCTTTTACGTTTTTATAAAAAGTTCGGTTGACCAAGGGCTAATCTGAAAAATCTCCCTATTTTTATTCCATTGTGTTTCTTCTTAGAGGATGTTTACGAGGATAACAAAGAATTATTTCCTTTTTTTTTTTAATTATTATAGAAACCTCACCTTTTAATATTATTTTCGTCTCACAAAAATATGTTTGTTTCCATTTTCATACAAGTTTAAAAAATATAATTAAAATGGTTGAAAACATAAATTTTTTTTTTTACAGTTTTTCTAATATGTCCCCACATTAAATAATTATTTAAATAGAAGTAATTTATATTTACTGATAACAAAGTACATTAAATAAGAACATATTAGAAAATTAAATAATAAGCTATATTTTTTTTTATTTTTATAAGAAAAGTGACCTGTAATTTGGAATAGATGTAAAATAAAAGAAAGTTATCTTTATGGGATACGGAGCATACGAGTTTTCTATTTTTCCCCTACTCTCCTTTATGTTTACATTTGTTTTGTTAATTTTTTTTTCCTTAATTTTAATTTAGACAAAAATGAATTATTTTAATAAGAGATAATTAGCAAAAAAAGGTTCTTACTGTTTGTCTTTAATGCATAAAATGTCTTCATTTCAATTTTGACATTTCAACAATCAGATCGACCTTCTTGTGCGAAACACCGTTATCAACACTTGATAATCATTTGCTCAATTAATTATCCATCATCTATAGAAATTGATCGAAAAAAAATATAAACAAGCGTTCAACCATTATGTGATCAATTTTAAAAAGGGTCAAATGGTCTTTTAACCTTCAATTAATCAAAACAAGGAAAATTTTCATCAGATGTCTCAAACCGTTTAAAAAAGCGCAGTTCTAAACATTTAATAATAGTACACTGGAACTTCTAACAGCTTCCCATCCAAAAAATTGCTATAGTCTCCAATTT